AGAAAGAGAGAGAAAGGAAGGAAGGAAGGAAGGAAGGAAGGAAGGAAGGAAGGAAGGAAGGAAGGAAGGAAGGAAGGAAAGAGGGAAGGAAGGAAGGTGGTTGGGAAGGAAGAAGAGAGAGAAAGAGAGAAAGAGAAAGAAAGAAGAAAGAAAGAAGGAAAAAGAAAGAAAATATTAACCTACATATTTCTATTGTGTCTGTACAGACTGAGACAGTTTGCTTTTAAAGTAAGTGAGGAAACACATCATAAAAGAAAGCCACAAACAAGCACAAATCATGTTCTCCTTGATGATAGTGAAGACTGTGTTTTAGGATATGGAAATGGCTTATGTTGTCATGCACAGGGCTCTCTTTAGACATCAGTTACCCATCTCACATTCCCAGTGGGAAATAGTCTGCAACAGGGATTCTGGCATTGTGGAGAAATCTCTAACCTCCATTACTTGGTTTACTCTAAAGAATTATTTATTTATTTATTTATTTATTTATTTATTTATTTTTAGCTGAAATTTCATAGTGTTTTTTTGTTGGTGGTGTGGTGGTGTTTTTTTTTTTGTGTGTGTGTGTGTGTGTGTTTTCATCTTCCTTTGAAAATACAACCACGCCTCTTGATAGAGCTTCTCTCCCCTTGTTTTGGCTTTTGGCTATGATTAGGGGACTCTCCATCTTTGATGGAGAATCAAAAGCAATCTGACCATTTTCCTCAAGTGCATGAAAAGCTTCAAACAGAGTTCAGAATGTTTTGTCAGCTGAGGCGTGTGCCTACATTCTCCACATATCACGTCTTATGTCTGATTTTCAAGTTTGGTTTCAGGGTCAAACGTAAGTATTCAAACATCACTTCTGTCTACCTACCCATCTACACACAAGCACACACACACACGCGCACAAGCACAAGCATATACACACATACACTTCTACTTGCATATATACACATATACATGTGTACTAAGCTATATTTACTTTATCATTTTTATATTTATTTATTTATTTATTTATTTATTTATTTATTTATTTATATTTGTTTTATATATGAGTGTTATGCCTGCATGCATGTAAATGCACCCATGCTGTGCAGTGCCCTCGCAGGACAGCAGAAGGCGTAGGATCCCCTTGAACTGGAGTTACAGAAGGTTGTTAGTCACCCTGTGGGTGCTAGGATTTGAAATCATGTCTTCTTCAACAATACCCAGTACGCGTAAACACTGAGCCATCTCTCCAGCCCCATGCTTTATCATTTAAAAAATAATAATCTTACACCCATACTCTTCATTGATTGTGATTCACCATTTTGCAACTCTGTTTTCTCCATAATACCTTAAAACATTATGAACTATTTTCACATTCACTTCTCATCTCAGAGGGGACTTTTGGAAGGCTTGGCAGAGAACAATCCATTTTGATAAACTGAGCTATTGTTAAGTGCGCTGTCAATTTCACTAGGGATTATCATTTCCTTTTTTATTCATTTCAAGATAGATTTATTTTTTTAAAGCTTTTAAATATTTGTACAAATCGGGGCTTATTTTATGTGGAAAATTATGGGTTAATATTGTATTACATTTTCTTTTTTTCATAATGTTTACTAAAGCATCTTTTCCATTTTTATACGTCATGTCAATTTTGAGCTTAAGAGCTCATTGGCAGCTTTGGCTTACCTGAAACAATTTCCTGTTTCATCTACACAGAAATAGATAAGCTGATTTTTACATTGTGCATAAAGCATCCCGCTCATCTTGTACTCTGTAATATTTTTTTTTTGTTAAGCAAACATGTTTAATTTTTATTACCTATATTTCACACACACAAAATGCTTTGCTGGCCTGCTTCTATACAGAATTCTCAGATAGTCTCTTGGTTAAAGAAAGTATATTCAACTTTTCTGCTTTACTAAACTTTCTTTTTCTCAT